GACAAGAGAATGAAATCAAGATTTGATGAGTTTGAACTACAGTACCGATCAGAAGAAACCTAACAGGGAACGCTTGACAGAACGCTTTCTGTTGCCATTCCACACGTGTTCCCGTTCCCATTCTTTATCCGTTCTGTATCCGTTCTGTATCCATTCCATATCCGTTCCATTTCTGCTCTCTTCTGTTCTGTTCCCGTTCTGTTAGCATTCCATCAGTAAGCATTCTTGGAACTTGTTCAGAAGAACAAGGTCTCCAAGAACTCGTTTACAAGAATGCTACCAAGGAATTAGTGACACTCAGTTAAAACTGTCGCCTTATGCAAGAATACAAACAATAACTTAAATTTTCGTGGTGAAAATGCGAGTCCAGTTACTCGAAAAATACGAGAAGACTGTTTGCATTCTCATACCCATTCTGTATCTGTTCTGTACCCATTCACAAATGCGTTCCCTGTTAGATTTCTTCTGAGCAGTACTGTATCTATCAATGTATGTTGTTTGATCAACCTTAATTAGGAGTGGACATAAAAAAAATATAATTAATATTTAAATTTTAATTGCCCTCTCTGACCCAACTTGATTTGAAGCTTACCTCACTAAGGTAGACAAGGATGGAACAAAGACTTCCATTTACACCATTTTCAGCATACTTTGGATCTGACTTCCACTGTTCTTTCATCCACTACACAGCGCAAAAATAATGGAGCAACAACTAGATCAGCAACTACATCTGTAGAAATAACTACAGTCGAACCTCCCGCGAGCAACCATCCAAATGTCAAGCTTGGGTTGTCACTTACAAGAACTTAGACCATATTGGGTCAACACTTTGCCTCATTAGCATAATGGTAACTTCAGAGAGTTATTCCATGCTTTAAATGTGTTATTCATGTGAAAAGTCAATTTTGAGAAAAAATTTGGTACTTCCCATCGAGAAAATTTCCGTCTCTTGTACCAGCCAGGAATGCAATAATGTTGACAACAACTCATTATCCAATTTTTGCCTAATGATATGTCAAGTAGTTGCTTACGGGAGGTTAAGAACAAAAAAAAATTTCCAACTTACAGCTCTAAAAGTGGACACTGTTGCTTACGAGAGGTGTCACTTACAAGAAGTTCCAAATATAGTGATTGGACTTGGGAATTTTTGGTATTTTGGAAAACTGGTCACTGAGGAGAGATGGTTGCTTACAAGTATGAGAGGTGGTCGCAACCGGAGGTTCAACTGTATTAAGTAAATAATGCATTGTTCCAGAATATATCCATACCACTTCCACAGAAGTAGTTTTAGTTTAAATCCTCCTCCATCTCATTTCCTAGAAATTCTAGTTTAACTTCATACTTTCCCCTTAAATTTTTCTTTTGTGACCCTTCACTCATTTAGAATTTCAAATGACCCTCCACAGGTTGGGTAGAGTATTTTCTGGAACCAAACGATGCACATTATGAAAGATTGTAACCCATTAAAGCCTGCCGCCTGACCAAGGCCAAACCAAACGACGTTGACTTTGACTTTATTATTATTCTTATCATCATTATTGCTATTATTATTATTATTTAGTTTTTATTATAGCATTTTAGCCTTATTTTAATTTGTAGTTTTTTATTTATACGCTCACTAGAATCTTCA